GAAGGGCAGAGTCACATCTGGGGAGGTAGACAGCTACCCACGGGCTCGGTTTTACCCCGCATTAAAAAAGGCCTGGTGCCACATCCTTCCTCGCGGGGTGGTGAGGTATATAACTTTAAGGCATATCAAACTCAATGGGTTATTTAATGCCGACAAGATTTTTGTTGCTGGTAATTTTTTTTTTTCAAAAATGTATTATTGGTAACATTTTTTAATTTATAGTTGGCATTTTATTTTAAAAAATGTATAGCTGCTAATTTTTTTTTGAAAATTACATTTGAAAAATCTATGCTGGTATTAAAACCTATTTTTACATTTTCATAGTGTTTCACCGCAGATTGGGTGTTAACTACTTACCCATAGCTGGGATCCTAACAGGTGCTACCACCCCTTATCAGGGTGGACCAGGGAACACCAGTAATTAAGAGTTGGTTCCACGCTCTTCAAAATCTCCTGATCACAGGCCTTGCTGTTTGTTATACTAGAAAATTACCTATTCTATTGCAATAGACTCTCCCACACATAATAATAAGTAGTAGTAGTAGGGGTCGCCAGTTGGGCTCAGTGGAATTGAGTGAGTCAGTCGATGTCGGACATTGAAGTATCAACGACCACAACTAGATTGCTGCGTCATTAACTATTATTATTGCAAGTTCCTAACGTTTTGTACGTCGAACCTAATTTAGGAAATACAAGCTTCCACTGTGAAAATTACTTTACAACACTGTTCGACGTAGTTTATCGTCTTAACCAATATGCGGATGTAATATTTAATAAAACTAACAAATGTTATACGTTATACCATGCCGTATTTTTTTTAATCATTTAACAGCAAGCAAGACAATAGATCCACCAACACACAAAGTGTTACTGACTGTGATAAACTGAAATAAAAAGATTTTTAAGGAGAGAAATCAATAAAAGAACAGAAATTAAGAAGACAAAAGATTACGATTTCCATAGCATTTAAATCTTTGAAAATGAAAGCTGACAGGAACGCAAGAAGCCGGGTAAGAATTCCACCAGGGACATGTGCAAGAAAAGAAACGATTAGCATAGAAATTACGGTTACATCCAGCAATTTCAAGTGTAAAATGATGAGATCTTACCGCCTATTCATAATTTAAATTCTTAAATTCATAAGTTCGAAGTAGCATAGAGGAAATATCCTCATTAAAATTACCCTGAGCATAGGCATAAAAAAAAACACAGGGGAGTTACTTTACGTTTGTTGGAAAGTGACTGAAGCCGATATGTCAGGTTAGCAATAATAACATTGCAGATTTTTTATTGTATTTTATCAAGAATCTCTAAACACATAGCTGATTTACCAGACCAGATGTCAGAGCAATATTCAATGGACGAATGGTAAACTTATATAAGTGTAAGAAGGATTCTGGGAAGAAACATTGTCTAGGACAACTCAGTGAATCAGCTGACTCAGAAATTGGCGCAATGTAATCTTTCCACTTAATGTCACCGGAAAACGTTAGTAATGTGTCTCCTAGAGGTTAGCCTTAGCTATGTTGACAGAAGGCAAAAATAAATCTCACACACAATTGAAAGAGTAATTTATTTTTGGAGACGTTAAAATTAGCAAGTCATTTTTGGGCCCAGTTAACAACAGATTGTAGGTCGTTTTTTTTAGATCAGCTGTTAATTTGACCATATTGAATCGATCAAAATTATTATTCAATCAGGAGTAAATAGCTGTGTCATTAGCATAGATACCGAGTTGAGAATATATGACATCAGGAGATTTGTTTATGGAAATAAGGAACAACATCGGTCTAAAGATGGAGCCCTCTAACACACTTGCATTAATGCAAGATGATCTAGAATATTATCTGTTTAAGACAGCTTTAAATTCGCTATTTGATAAGACAGATTTAATCAGTTCATGAATTTTTCTAGAAATATTTTTTTTTCAATTTTTGAATAAGACGAGTATACCAAATTCTGCTAAATGCCTTCGATCTATCAAAAACAGCATCCGGAGCTTCGCAATTTCTTGTCTAAAGCTTAGGAAACCTTTTTCAGCAATAATCATTAACATATCAGCAGTTGATGAAAGGAAGCGAAAGCCATATTGCTTATCGGAAACAAAACACTGCGAAGTGAGATGCTTAACCAATTCCGAGTTGATCAGAACCTTTATTTCATTTCTAAAAAAAGGTAGAATGCTACTAGTGGTAGACGCTATAACGCATTTGGAATTGGGTTATGAAATAATCTAATAAAATAAGAAATAAGGAACCCTTTACTTTGTGGAAACAAATCTCAAAAGTATGCTTTCCCGCTCACTACAATCTTAACCTTATCATATGACCATTATCTTCTGTCGACATATCTATATAAACTGGTCACCTTACTTCTGATTCTGTAACTCCCTATCTTGCGTACCCCATGGGCTCTGTACCTTATGTTAAAATTTTAGTAAAAAACATTTGACAAAATTTAATAGTTTTTCATAGTTCTACCAAATCTAAACATCATTGCTCAAATCCGGTATGCCACGTAGATATTAGCGAACTATCCGAATATATCATACCCGAATGGTGAGATGTAAGTTCTGCTTGAGCAGCTTCTTCCCACGACCCACTGCTTTGGGGAACCGATAGCCAGCAAGACGCATTCCCGGTCACCTGTTACAGCATAGCCATAATACTTATTTTACACACATATGCCTAAAAACTGTGTCTCTTACTGTCAAAGAATCTACATCGAGTGGCTTTTTGGCCTTGTATAGGGTGGATATTATCGCAATAAAAGATTATGATGAGATAATGAGGAAAAATATAAACAGCCTTAACCATAACGTCAGACATTAGTTGTTTAATATTCTACGCGTTATTTCTTATCCTGTTATTCTTCAAAGCCTTTCTAAGAATTCTATAGACTGCTATTCTTATAATAAATTTACGGCATTCCTATCTATTACTATTCATTTATACTAGTTGAAATCATCAATATCTGATCTGTATCTCAGAGATGAGGTATTATGATTACTTGCATTATTTACATTATTCTGACTTTATCCTCATTTTCATTGCCATATTCACAATGTTATTGCCTCTATACCTCTGAGATGAGGTATTATGATTATTTATATTATTTACATTATTCGGACCGTTATCATTGTCTTCATTGCCTTATTCACAACTTTTCGACCTCTATATCTCTGAGATGAGGTATTATGATTATTTATATTATTTACATTATTCGGACCGTTATCATTGTCTTCATTGCCTTATTCACAACTTTTCGACCTCTATATCTCTGAGATGAGGTATTATGATTATTTATATTATTTACATTATTCGGACCGTTATCATTGTCTTCATTGCCTTATTCACAACTTTTCGACCTCTATATCTCTGAGATGAGGTATTATGATTATTTACATTATTTACATTATTCGGACCGTTATCATTGTCTTCATTGCCTTATTCACAACTTTTTCGACCTCTATACCTCTGAGATGAGGTATTATGATTATTTACATTATTTACATTATTCGGACCGTTATCATTGTCTTCATTGCCTTATTCACAACTTTTTCGACCTCTATACCTCTGAGATGAGGTATTATGATTATTTACATTATTTACATTATTCGGACCGTTATCATTGTCTTCATTGCCTTATTCACAACTTTTCGACCTCTATATCTCTGAGATGAGGTATTATGATTATTTATATTATTTACATTATTCGGACCGTTATCATTGTCTTCATTGCCTTATTCACAACTTTTCGACCTCTATATCTCTGAGATGAGGTTTATGATTATTTACATTATTTACATTATTCGGACCGTTATCATTGTCTTCATTGCCTTATTCACAACTTTTCGACCTCTATACCTCTGAGATGAGGTATTATGATTATTTACATTATTTACATTATTCGGACCGTTATCATTGTCTTCATTGCCTTATTCACAACTTTTCGACCTCTATACCTCTGAGATGAGGTATTATGATTATTTACATTATTTACATTATTCGGACCGTTATCATTGTCTTCATTGCCTTATTCACAACTTTTTCGACCTCTATACCTCTGAGATGAGGTATTATGATTATTTACATTATTTACATTATTCGGACCGTTATCATTGTCTTCATTGCCTTATTCACAACTTTTCGACCTCTATATCTCTGAGATGAGGTATTATGATTATTTACATTATTTACATTATTCGGACCGTTATCATTGTCTTCATTGCCTTATTCACAACTTTTCGTTCAATTGTTAAAGACGTTGGCTAAATCTAGTGTCTGGATACAAAGATACATTATTATATCAGTTCAATACAAGCCACAGAATTGGTGAACTAAATCCTGGAGAGTTGACTTAAAGGGAAATAACAGAGACATCCGCAAGAGGCATGGCACGTGGAACTAAAACAATCTACTCCGGTGGACGAAATAAAGGGTTTGGTTCGAAATTCCAGTCACCTGAAGAAAGCCGGAGCGTACAACGACCGAAACGTTGTGATTATTGCAATGAAGATGAGGATAACTGTCCGAATAATGTAAATAATAGTTGAATTTTTTAAAATTAATTCTACGTGTGGGTGTCAGAGATTTTTATAAATATTTACTTTTTGTCCACTGTGACTCAAGATCTTCTGACTCTTGCTCTTATCAATCAAATATTTACGAAGCAATCAACGAGGCCATGGAGATGAGAATAATCTCAATACTAAACGTAACTCTAACCTTCCCAAATAATGAGAAGATCTGATTTGAAGAAAGAAAAGGATGACAAAAAAATCATGCCTACGTGGTTAGAGTATAAAATAAGATCCACGTTGGAAAAAATCTAATAAAAAATATTCTTCGTTATTTCAAGCCAATGATGTTTACGTCCGTTTCCCTTTCAATAAAAGGGAAGGTCAAGAATTGCATTCGGAACTGCATTCATTGACTTCCAAAATGATTGCATTCATTCGATTTATTCCTTCATTCATTATATTATTTTTACGTGCAAATATGTCTGTCTATTATCTATCCCTGTCTGTTCATATCTATCTATCTATCTATCTATCTATCTATCTATCTATCTATCTATCTGTTAGGTTTTTCCTTCCTCCTTTTTTTTGATTTCAGTCTATGTATCCCTCGATGTATCTATGTATCTATCTCAGATTTTTGTTTCTATCTATCTATCTATCTATCTATCTATCTATCTATCTATCTATCTATCTATCTATCTCAGCCTTTTCATATCTATCTATCTATCTATCTATATTAGTTTTTTCCTTCCTTCTTTTTTGGCTTTCAGTCTATGTATTCCTCGATGTATCTATGTATCTATGTAGGATTTTTCCTTCCTTTCTCTTTTCTATCTATCTATCTATCTATCTATCTGCTTCAGTTAATATCTATCTATCTATCTATCTATCTATCTATCTATCTATCTATCTATCTGTTAAATGAATTCTCTTCCTTCCTCTCTATATATCATAGTTTCTTCCTTCTTATCTGTCAATTAATTACATTATCTTCCCGTTTTCTTCCTTTCTTTCTTTCTTTCTTTCTTTCTTTCTTTCTTTCTTTCTTTCTTTCTTTCTATCTATCTATCTATCTATCTATCTATCTATCTATCTATCTATCTGTATTAGTTTTTTCCTCCTTAGTCTATGGTTCCTCGATATATCTATGTATCTATGTCGGATTTTTCCTTCCTGCCTCTTTTCTATCTATCTATCTATCTATCTATCTATCTATCTATCTATCTGTTAGGTTTTCCTTCCTCCTTTTTTTTGATTTCAGTCTATGTATTCCTCGATATATCTATGTATCTATGTCAGATTTTTTTTTCCTATCCTTTTCTATCTATCTATCTATCTATCTATCTATCTATCTCAGTCTTTCATATCTATCTATCTATCTATCTGTTTAGGTTTTTCCTTCCTCCTTTTTTTGATTTCAGTCTATGTATCCCTCGATGTATCTATGTATCTATCTCAGATTTTTTCCTATCTCTTTTATCTATCTATCTATCTATCTATCTATCTATCTATCTATCTGCATCAGTTAATATCTATCTATCTATCTTTCATATCTATCCATCTATCTATCTATCTATATTATCTGTTTTTTTCCTTCCTTCTTTTTCATAGTTTCTTCTTTCTTATCTGTCTATGTTACATTCTCCCGATTTCTTTCTTTTCTTTCTTTCTTTCTATCTATCTATCTCTATATATTTTATATATATATATATATATATATATATATATATATATATATATACATACAAAGAATAATCAATATATCTTAATCAGAAGTATTAATGCTTATTGATCTATCCATCGATCTAAAACATAATCTATGCATTAAAATCCTGTTCATCCATCGAGTCTATCTTGACGAAAAACTTGTTGTCTGTAGTTTTTCAGTTTATTTATCTTAAAATGCTATCTATCTATCCATCATCAGGCATCTATTAAAAACTTGAGATTATCTTCGTTCCGAAAAAGATGTTTTTTGAATATCTGCTATTATCACGGTTTTTCTTTTTCTTATCAAAATCTATTAATTAATTTTATCTTCCCGTTTTCTTTTTTTTCTTTTTTACAAGTTTCTTTCTCTGAACTAAGTCTATCTAATAATATATATATATATATATATATATATATATTTTTTATAAACATAAAACATTATAGCATATGATTTACATACAAAGAATAATAATCATAGAATTAATCAGATGTATTAATGATTATTGACGACATCCATCGATAGAAAACATAATATATGCATTAAAAATCCTGTTCATCCATAGGGCGAGTTTTGATCCTTGAAGAAAAACTTGTTGTCTGTATTCTTTGTATGTAAATCATATGCTGCCTAATGTTTTATGTTTATTAAAACTATCGATCCGCAGTACATAAAAATTCCTATAAAAAACTACTACTAAGACATTACACTATATTATTGAACTATATACTTAGTTGATGACATAAAAACTGAATACACTTTTGTAAAATAGAATACGTGGATTTAACACATCACAAGTAATATTTAAATAAAATTCTCACTTAAAAAAAATTTTGAAAACTTAGCGTTGCGTCTTTGCCCGTTCCGATATCTTACAACCGTCAATAATAGCAGATATTCAAAAAACATCTTTCGGTCGACGTACAAGTATATCGTCTCCAAGTTTTTTGATTTTATAAGGAAAAAACACATGCCTGATGATGAATAGAGGACTATTCGTAAGTACTAGCATTTTAACATCAAATAAACTGAAAAAAAACAGACAACAAGTTTTTCTTCAAGATCAAAACTCCATCTATGGATGAACAGGATTTTAATGCATATATTATGTTTTCTAGCGATGGATGTCGCCAATAATCGCATTGATAATTCTTATTAATTCTATGTGTGATTATTCTTTGTATGTAAATCATATGCTGCCTAATGTTTTATATATATATATATATATATATATATATATATATATATATATATATATATATACCTCAGCCTTTTTTGCATATCTATCTATCGATCTATCTATCTATCTATCTATCTGTCTGTCTGTCTGTCTATCTATCTATCTGTTAATTGAATTCTCTTCCTTCCTTTCTATATATCATAGTTTCTTCCTTCTTATCTGTCTATTAATTAAATTATCTTCCCATTTTTCTTTCTTTCTTTTTTCTTTCTTTCTTTCTTTATTTCTATCTATCTATCTATCTATCTATCTATCTATCTATCTATCTATCTATCACAGTCTCTCCCTCTCTTCCTTCTTATTTATCTCATGATGCTGAATCTGAACAGTACGTTCTGCTAATTTAATTTGCAAGGACACTCATATAAACACTCATAGAGATAGATAAATATCAACTTAGTAGAATAGATAGATAGATAGATAGATAGATAGATAGATAGATAGATAGATAGCAGAAAGACAGACATGAATATCTATATAAAAACCTTCGTCTCGTATTATTACTACTCTTCCAAGTCTCACTGTCTGAAAAGAGTAATGTTTATTTCTGTAAGTTTTTCAGCTTCCTTGATATGTTGTACTAATCTCATTCAATCTATATTACTTACAAACATTTATTTAACCAAAATAGGTCTAGAGATTGGCTGAGATAGAAACTGAAGTATTAACAAAAACTCTTACATTTGTAATCGATAACGAACATGATGATATCGATTCTTTCAATCATCACTCAATCAGAAATTGCTTCTGGTGAAGGAAAAACCAAATAAGCAAAAATTGATTAACTGAAGTATATCAAATGTTTTCGAAATTTGATTATTTTTGGAATTCTGTGAGTTATTCGGTCGAATATTTGCTGATTTTTTGTTTTATATATAAGAATTTGTTTTTCCTCCACGATTCAGATCCATGAAAGATTTTATGAAAAATGTCTTTCATCATTATTTATCTTATTATGTATTGTGTCCGCAAGTGCACTTTTATGATGTCTCCTGTTGTCCTTTATTTTTTGCTAATTTTATTTTCTCTTTTTTGTTCTCCTTTGTAAAGAGGTGAGGGGTTAAGTGATAACACAAAACTTAAATCTTCATTACGAAACATTTTATTCTCTGTGATATTTCCTCAGTTAATCTCAGTTTATGTCTGGTGTCAAGTCCAGTTACCGCGGGTTCAATACATGAACCTTACATTATGCTTTGATATGTAAGAGTGTGTATTTTTAATATCTGGGATGGTTGTTCTTATGTCCGTCAGTACTACATTCTAGTTCTCACATCTTGTAATAATGGATGCAGGAGTGCGGTCACACAATTCTACATTCGGTGGTCGGGTGTACCCTAGGTTAATCTTCTAGTGTAGCCGACTTCTTTCAGGGCTTCTTGTGGGTAATATGTGGGTAAAAACTATTCCGGCATAATAGCGTCCTTAATAATTTTATTTTAATTTTCTCTTTCCTGTATTCCGATGGAATTCGATCCATTGGATAGTGTTTCAAATTATTATTTTACATGTAAGTTTGCACGTACGCACGCATGTCTGTGTGTGTGTGTGTGTGTGTGTGTGTGTGTGTGTGTGTGTGTGTGTGTGTGTGTGTGTGTGTTTGTATGTGCGGAAACTAGATAAAATGATAATTTGGAACGACTGTACAATGCATCAAATAAAATAATCAATTTTATTATGTCCGTTAGAATAAAATTTATTGTGGGTAAATATATATATATATATATATTGTGTGTGTATGTGTTTGTGTGTGACAAGATAAAGAACAAATAGGAAACGTTTATGAATCTAACATGTTTCACTTTTAATAAATCTTCGTCAGACAAGGAGACTCAAGCAAAACATATGAAAAGACAGAACTTTGGTATTTTGAATTTTGTTTGGATTGATTGTCATTGGTCAGTTATGTATCATGTACATTAAAACCATAAGTAAATCTATATGTACGTAAGTTTGTAAAAGTTCTAATATGTCTAAGCGTGCATCAGCAGGTAATGCGTATTCGAAATTGCATATGTGTGTCGCTCTCGTAGGAGGCAGTCTAATGTTTGCACTTTTGTATACTCAATCGGAATAGTGGAGTGGGATTCTATTAATCTGGTGCTGTTTACATGCTGTTTGTATTAGATAGCTATAAGTTATTTTGTTTTGTTTTTTTCTTTAATGAAATCAAAGAAAGATGCCTATATTTATAGTTGGCTATAATGTTTTTATTAAGCTTCCAAAGAATTTTCTCTTTGAAAATTATGTGCTTTTTTTTAAAATTAGGAGTCTATTACTAAAATCAAAAGTATGACTAGCATCGTTCCTTGTGTAATACTAGAGATTTAGAAATATGCCCTTATTACATATAGGTTACATTTAAGAAAATGTAATTTTCGGCTGTGTTCTAGAGATACTTTTTTTCTTTATTAAAGACTCTCAAAAAACGCAGACCAGTAAAAGAAAAGGATATTATTTAAACAACGGAGATATCTACACAAACACCTGTGTATACTTTAGCTACACCTTTATAAATGTTTTATTGACAATTGACATTTTATGCCCATTAACATTAAACATCTTTCTTTGTAAATTGCAACTGATCTTTTACAAAATAACTTGATGCAGATTATAAGAGAATTATTATTAATAAATAAAAATAAGAATAATATATAAAATAAAATAAACAAATACATTTTGACTTCGTTTAAAATAAAATAAATAAAACCCAAATAATAAAAGTTTTCCCAGAATTCAACAGAACATTTTCCTAGATTTTAGTTTTAGTTTTGGTTTGGTTTGCTTTGGTTTGGTTTGTTTTACGGCATAAAACCTCATTGGGTTATTTAATGCCGACAAGATTTTTATTGTTGGTAATATTCTTTTTTTATTTCTAAAATGTATTGTTGGTATATTTTTATAATGATTTGATGGTAATATTTTTTTACAAAAATGCATTGCTGGTTTTTATTTTTTTTTTTTTAAAGTATTACTGGCAAAATTTTAAAAAATCAAAGTAAGTATTGCTGATATTAAAACATATTTTTATACTTTAATAGTGTTTTGACTCGTTTTGGGGCGTTAATTATTTGCTCATAGCTGGGACCCTGACAGTTATTACCACCCCTGGTTAGGGTAAAACTGAGAACACCAGTAATTTTGAGATAGTTCCACGCTTCTAGAAAATCTCCTGATCAAAGATCTTGCTATTGGCTGTAGTTACCCAAAACGCGGATGTAATTTATCGTCATACCCAGGACGGCGAAATGTAGGGGACATACGGTTGATAATTACTGTTTTTCAAATTATATGACTATTTTTCTAATTAGATTATAGAATCAATAATCGAATAATGCAAATAATATTTATCAACTCAGCAAACCAGTTAAATTCATATATCTATAGCAGTCTTTTTATCGAAAGTTCATTCGCAATTTAGAAAAGAAAGATGATTAAAATTAAGAGACGTAACACGTCTAGATTCTTGATTCTTTGATAAAATATATTTACAGGAATAATGACTGATTAATTTAACTAATATATTTAAGAGATTTACATATTGAATTCATAAATTATTCAAGTTTGCCAATATTTGGGGGTGGCATTTAAATTTCATATATAATAAATGGTTGAAGCAGGTGCGAAGTTCAGAATTCGAATTTGAAGTATCGAACTGCTATTGAATTATTGATTCTGGAAATGATTCCACTGGAAGAAAAAACTCCTCGGCAAAATGAGAAATGAATTTTGTGTGCACATCGTAAAGGATTGATTGCTTGGCGTCTTCAGAGATGTCTGGAAGAAATGCTGTAAGTAAAATGTTAAAAAAAAAAAAAATGCAAATATAAGAATAAATGTTCTACTGTTGGGCCCAGAACTTTTCTCGCATTTCAATTATATATATATATATATATATATATATATATATATATATATATATATATATATATATATATACTGGTCACCCCAACAAACTAGCTTTCACGGCGCTTGACTCTACATTTAAATGATAACTCTAACATTTTTAGACATTTAAAACAACATTCCTTCCCGCATACTCAAAATCTTTTTTTGACAACACAACTATAATTAAACATGAAACCAATAAACAACGATTAAAAATTCTGGAAGCTTTATACATAAAACTGTTGAAACCTAACCTGAACAAAATAAACTATGAAATCTCCATAAATATCCTTAAATGCCTATGCCTATAATAGATAACAGATGGCATTGGTTTATACCAACGGCTTCCCATACTTAATACTTCTCGTTTTCACTCTCGCGTGGCCATGTGTGACGTCACGATCTGCGACGCGATTTTCGCTTCCACGTATCGTATATACGAGTTTGTCCTTACTTGAAATTTTCATGCAGCAAGGGCGGACTATCATTGTTGTTTCGTCCGTGTGTTGTTTGATTTATTGAAATTGTCATCTTTGATAATGGCTTGTGTAAGCCGAAAGCTTAGATTGAATTTAAACATGTATCAATATGGTGTTTTCCTTTCGTCTTTCAACGATAATAGGATTAAGCTTATCAGGCAATATGAAAGGAACTTACTTAAAATAAATAGACAAAACTTGTCTATATTATTTAATGAAACATGCATTAATATATATATATATATATATACAGAGAGAGAGAGAGAGAGAGAGAGAGAGAGAGTCATCCACAGACAGACTGTTGTGCTGTACCAGAGCTCATCAGAGATTTAACCCTATGCCATCGGCGCATGGGTAAAAGAAAGGCGAATTTTTACGTACTTATTCTGTGAATAAACACACCAATGAATGAAAGTGCTCAGTTCAGAAAAGGGAAGAGCCTTGTAATATTAGTAGTAATTGGCACTGTTTACAAATTCGCACATCTTCCAAGAGTTCACAACCGAATATAAATTTTTCGGATATATATATATATATATATATATATATATATATATATATATATATATATATATAATTTCTTTCATACATGATAAAATACCTGGGAGACAATGTTATTTTATAAATTAGGCTGAGCTTACCAAACACAAAATTGTTTGTATTGATATATAGATATATATTTACATATATCTTTATTTCTTTACCCACAGGCGCACGCACATTATTATTATTATTATTATTATTAAATTCATATAAGTGTGTATTGATAAGAAATATAGATTTCCATCATAGAATATAGCATATATATATATATATATATATATATATGTGTGTGTGTGTGTGTGTGTGTGTGTGTGTGTGTGTGTGTGTGTGTGTGTGTGTGTGTGTGTGTGCGTAGGAAATGCATTAGGTTGGGATAGAGAAAGAAAGCACAAATAGCAGTTAA